ATTCGTAAAAGACTTAGCATGTAAGTTATTTTTTAAGAGCTATGGATTTTTGTATAAAATAAGTATATATATATATATATATATATATATATATATATATATATATATATATATATATATATATATATATATATATATATATATGTATATGGGATGGTGGATGTAGGCTACTTTTTATCCCGGTCAGTGAACATATTCCGGTCACGCGAACGAAGTCGCGGGTTTAAGTTAGTTTACAATATTAGTAAGTATAAATATTAGTTAGTTTATAATATTGATGAAAGTAGTATGAGAACATTTGGATCGGAGAATATCTCGAATTACTTTTACAGCAAAGTTCACATTTACCTAAGATATCGCGTTAACACGCACTATTGGCAACTTTTTTTTCAAGTCAAAAATTAATGAACCGACGAATCGAGAGCCCTCTTTTGGGAGCCGCTTAAAAAGGGAACAACAGCCCCGGATAAAGGCATAAGCATCCACAGTCAACCCGTCACACGCTATCGTCATTTTCTTCGCCACTTCCCGCCGTAAAACCCTCAATGCATACAAAAAACTTCATTTTCAATATCGACACACGCCTATATCTCCTCGGGGGTTCGATATACGTTGCTCTAAAACATATTTTACGGGTACACTGTACCCTCAGATCGCGAAGGGTTTATGGTTCGACTATCGCGTTAACCGAGTCTGGATGGTCTAATTCGTAAGGTTTCGGACGAATCGAAGCTATAAATTCTATGCTGTAATAGTGGAATGTTAGTGAAAGGTCCCTTCACTGTTTATTCCGTTTAGGGTCATAAAACTTACATCTGCCGCATGATCCCTATTTCCGAGTTCCAATTTTAATTTTTGTACGACTTTGCTCGTTTTTTTATTTAAAAAAAAGCCTGCATTTGTTTTTTTATATCAGCCGTTAACTGACCGCTGAACATAGGCTTCCCCCCAAGGAAGGTTTTGCTAGTAGTTGTCACACTTGGCAGACGGGTTGGCAATAGCAATTAGGCTATGGTGATGTTTTAAAAGAAACACTGCGGTTGTTTACATGCTACGCTTTATTTAAACCGATGCATTTTTCTTTATTACTTCCACATATGGTTTGATGCTATATAGTGATTTATATTAATTTACTCATTTCAGCCATTAATTGTTTATTGCTCAAAAATAGGCTTTCTTATAGATTGCCATTAGGAATGGTTCTAAACCACCTGTGCTTTTACAATCTATCGTTTGTATCTATCGAGGAGTTGTCCTACACCACATTTAATTCGTAGAGCCGACTCTTAAATAACACTAAAGGAGCTAAGTTATAAACTTTTATAATACTTATCAATATTATGGACAGAGGTATGCTATAAATAGTTGTACAACAATACATTTATTTTAATATGTGGATATATCCAGATGGTTACATAGATTTATTTTCCTGTTTCGTCAATATGCAGGTAGTGCCGATTCTTAAATAATGTAATCATTACTCGCTCGAAAGTACGTTCAGGAAAGTAATCATAGAAAACGAACAGTCCCTGTGCATCAATAACTGTCTCCCAAATGTTTATTATATCAGTATTATTTTATAGCGTTTATTCCCTCGGGAGTAATTTTTGGTATAACCCGCATACTTATTTACGAGTAACGGCCTTAGAAGCTATCGTACGGTAAAATTTATATGAACTCCGCAAAGATTTTGACTCCAAAGACAATATATCGATACGAGCTCAATATTGCACTGAATTTTCTTTTAGAAAATGTTCGAAAACTTTAATAAACTTCGTGTAATGTAAAGAAGTCGTTCGTATAAGAATAGACGGTGAAATGCTTTAATTAATAGTAAACTGACCAGGGGAAAAGGGATTGTTAGTAATGGAGACTAAGAATCCCATTGCTCGCGGTTCTCCCTGGAAACTATCATGGTTAATTCCTGATAAATCCATCATGATGGGCTAACTGACCTGTTTTCATTCTCATCTATCACCCTTCACTGGTGCTCCGCCAGCGTATCCCGTTAGCGCAGGCGGGGTTACCATACCATTTTCACCCATCAAAAAGAAAAAAAAAATAGTAAACTGACAAAAGTATCCTGTCCTTAATATTTTTCTTTTTACACAAAAGGAATAATTTTATTAAAAAAGAGACTGGCTGAAAACTTGTTCTGTGTATTTGTACACATTGCACTGGGACACTCACAGCATCAGCTGAGCCAGTTCCTTTTACCGAATATAAGATATTTCTTATACATATATAATGTTACTGTATTTTCTGTTATAATTATTTGTTTTTCTAGTAATAAATCTATAATATAGAAGGGGGTGGTACATTCCATGCTGGTACCAAACGGCAATTTCTTTTGGGCAAGTTGGTTTTATTAAATGCTCCTTATGTGTTTTTTCTTAAATATGTCACATGTACAGACATTGTTTAGTAACAATTTTATTATATTGTTCAGATATTGAGAGAGAACGAGAGGGAGATTTGGTACAAAAATCGTTTGCTTGGGTACCTCTGACCCATTCGCGTTTTTATCGTGAAGCAGTTGTGTTTGCATGGCTGTGTTTCGGTTTAAAGAGTGGGATATGGTAGTGAATTTACAGGGTACTGAGGAATAACACCTAAGGTCTCAGGAATGGCAACGCATGAAGAGTATCATGAGCGAAACAGTATATTCTGATATGTGCATGGTACTGCTCATATCTATAGGCGACCGTTACCACTTTCCATCAGATGGACAGTCAGTTTATTTGCTATTCTAAGTTGCATTAAAAAAATATTGGGAGACTGACGTGACAGATATATATGTATCTACATATGTATGTAGTAAGATCTACAAGTAGATTTTTCTTCACAACCACAAAATTTTTTGTACTGTAAAAAAAAATAAGCATATAAATTATGTTAAAATAAAAAAAAAGAAACACTGGTATGATAGTAATCACCCGTTTGGAATTGACGACGCATTATTTTTATGACCTTTTTTTTTCTGTAGCTATATTACGTGAACATAGCTACAAAAAACAATATAGATGAATTAAGGGCGTCCTTTTTTTGAAATTTGATTAATAATAATTTAATATTAAGCCCTACTAATACCTATTTACTTAGAAATAGTTAATATTAGAAACGATACAAAAATAAGTTCTCCACAGTCATCCTCCGACTCATTCCATTTGATATATTTTCGTGACTCAACCGAATTTTGTTCCATACAAAAGGAATTGCAAAATCAGTGTTATGATAACTAAAAATATATTTAGGGTTATTTTTTATTGGAATTTTCCTATCTAGAATCTGATTATATATATGTATAATGTGTAGATTTTACGCAGAATACCATAATGAATTTTCCACTATCAGGTATACCTGATTATTGATGATATATGTATTAATAAATTGTAGATCTGTTTTTACTAATATTATAAAGCAGAAAGGCTTGTCTGTTTGTTTGTAATGGATACATTAAAATCGATTACTTTACAATCGATTAGAAAAACCCTTTCACTTACGGAAAGCTACATTAATAATATAGGTCGTATCGAAAATTAATAGATAATAATGGATAAATGAAAAAAATACTATATTGATTTTAAAAACTCAATTCATCTATAGAATACTACCTTATGAGAGAGTAACATGGGCTATATTTTATTAAAAAGATACAGTACAAAGCTCCCGGCTTTGGGGGGGGGGGGTCGTTATACAATGAATAAGGCAAATCCTTCTAATTTTCACTGCCTTTCCCTTGAATGTCGTAAGAGGCGACTAAGAAAAGTTAACGGTCAAGAGATGGGCAGCTGTATACCTATTAAAACATCACTGAAACCTAACTGTGGTTGCTAACCTGCCCGCCAAGCATGGCAACTACTGGCTAGCCTTATGGGTGAGGCCTATGTTCAGCAGTGGACAGTTAACGGTCAATATGGATTAAGACAATGAACATTACAGGATGAAATATATCGCATAGGTTATTTAATAGGTTGCTGTTCTTGAAGAGCTTATCTCTGATTTTTTTTTGTCAAAATATATTATATGTCGCAAAATATGTTATGTTTACGATATTTGTCGCGACCTACTTATTTTTATGGGAACTGTTGTGACATCTACAGAATTGAAAATAACATTTCATGCTATGTTTTTCGCTCCTACATTTTTGCGTTGATTTCACAAGTAAGAAAGACAATTAAATAGCGTGTGGTCCCGGCATAGAATAGGTTACTGCTTACTTTCCTATGACTGACGTAAGAGGCGACTAAGAAAAATTAATGGTTGAGGGATAGGCAGCAGCGTCCCTCTTAAAAGTTCACAAAGCTTAACTGCGGTTGCCAATCTGCCAGCCAAACGTGGCAATTGCTGGCAAAACTCCCCTTATAATATATACAAAAGGTCAGCAGTAGACAGTTAACGGCTGATATAGTGATGATGATCAAGATGAAACGTACACCAGATTTTAAGTTAGTCCTTCAATATAACTGTAATATATATATATATATATATATATATAAAGTGTAAATAAATTTCGTATTTATTTACACTTTATAGCACCAAGTAAAAAATAATAAATACAGTAAACATTAATGAGAAGTGATACAAAAGGCGGCCTTATCACTAAGCAATCCCTTCCAGACAACCTTTGGGTAGAGGACAGAGTAGTTTTTATATAATGCCTGAACAAATATCCTCTAGATACAATTTTATTATATAAATAAGATAATACACCTAGCATAATATGTATAAACTTGATAGTAAACACTACAAGTTTTATAATTATTTTTGGTAGAAAAAATAAACTACAATCCACCTAATGCCAAATAAAAATCGGCCTCTATAGATATGAAAGCACCATAGACTAAACAGATATATGTAGACTTAACATATTCTGCGATGCACACCTTGTGCCTTTGTGTGTTACCATTTCTGAGGACATAGCCTTCGTATCATTACATTATAATACGTTTGATATAAACACGGTATTATTCCGTTTGTATCAGACATTAGATTGGTTATCTTAGTTTTACAGATTGTCGTTTCATAGTTGACATTGATAAGATGGTATTTATTCAGACAATTTACACAAAACTCTACCAGTAAGGTTTTCGTTTTAGTTACTTTTTGTGTCAAAGATTTAGTTGCGTTCGAATTTTGTATCATAGAGGTATGAATAAAGTTGATTTCAATTTTGTAGTATTTAAAATTAAATATAAAAATTTTCTCTCGATAACAAAATAAAACTAATATTATAAATATTAAAATTGTATTCCAAATCCCACAAAGTATTAATAATCTGCAATATTAAAAAAAAAACTAATGTATTACATTTATTTCAGATCGTGGTTTGAGCCTCAAGAAATACGTGAAAAATGTATAAATGTAACCCAATAGACTACAGTACTATTGCAACCCGATGTATGGTGGTTACACCTCATCATCTCGCAACAGAAAGCGCACTTGCAATATTAAGAGAAGGTGGAACTGCTATAGAAGCTATGGTGGCTGCGGCTGCTACAATAGCCGTTGTTTATCCCCACATGAATAGTATTGGAGGAGATTCTTTTTGGCTTATTGTTCCACCTTCCGGAGAACCTATAGTCATTGAAGCCAGTGGAGCAGCAGGCAGTTCGGCTACAGAAGAATTTTATAAAAACTATAAAAGTATTCCGCAAAGAGGTCCAAAATCAGCTTTAACAGTAGCAGGAACGGTGGGTGGTTGGCAAGAAGCATTGAATTACATATCTGAAATAGGATACCAAACAATTTCTACACCGAGGTTGCTTGCCGATGCTATTCATTATGCCGAAAATGGTTTCCCAGTTTCGTCTTCCCATGCAATAGCATTGTCTGAATTTATCGAAGTAAATAATGCGTCTGAAGAATTTAAAAATATTTATCTACCAAATGGAAAGGTACCAAATGTGGGAGAAATGTTTTATCAAAAAAATCTTGCAACTACATTGAGACATTTGGCCGAAAATGGTTTAAATAGTTTCTATCAAGGAAATTTAGCAAATATTATATCAGAAGAAATGAAAGCCGTAGGAATGCCTATTACAAAAGAAGATCTTAGAAATTATACTCCTATTAGAAAAAAATCTTTGCAATTACCTCTCAAATATGGAGTTTTGTTCAATACACCTCCACCAACGGTAGGCGTGGTATCTTTGAGTATACTAGGACTTCTAGAGAAATTAAATATTAATGGTCAACATGAAGGAAAATTTATTCATGCAGCAATTGAAAGTACTAAACAAGCATTTATAATAAGAGATAAATTCATTACTGATCCTCTTCACATGAAAACGAATCCTGAGTCTTTATTAACTCCTGAAGCTATATCTAGAATGGCGAATAATATTAACCTCGAGAGAGCTTCGAATATAAATAACGGAAAAGGTCCAGGGGACACAGTTTGGATGGCTGCTATGGATGATGAAGGTTTCTCTGTGTCGTTTATTCAAAGTGTTTATCATGATTTTGGTAGTGGTGTCATTTTACCTAAAACTGGAATTTTGTGGCATAATAGAGGCGTTTCATTTAATTTGGATAAAGATAGCTTATTATACTTAAGTCCTGGTAAAAAACCGATCCATACATTAAATCCAGCTGCCGCTAGATTGAATGACGGAAGATTAATAGTTTATGGAACACGCGGGGGTGATGGACAACCTCAAACTCAGGCGGCTTTGTTTCATAGATATGTTGTTCAAGGCTTGAACTTACAAAAAGCTGTATCGACTCCAAGATGGGTTTATGGAGACACCCTTCAAAAACATGTAACTACAGTGAAAATAGAGGACAGGTTTGACGAAGATACTATAAAATATTTAAAAAACAAGGGGCATGTTATTGAATTATTGCCTCCTTTTAGTGAAAAGTTTGGGCATGCAGGAGCAATTGTAAGACATCCTGATGGAAGGCTGGAAGGAGCTTATGATCCACGTAGCAACGGCAATGCTGCTGGATTCTGAATTACTTTTAAATATTAAGATTATACTTGTAAAGCTAAATAAATGTAATTAAAAATATAAAATAGGAATACGAATTTATATATATATATATATATATATATATATATATATATATATATATATATATATATATATATATATATATATATATATATATATATATATATATATATATTTATATATATATAATATATATATATATATATATATATATATATATATATATATATATATATATATATATATATATATATATAAATAATATTAACTTAAGTATATTTAAGGATTTGTTTACGTAATTAATTTAAATCTACGCTAGTACTTGTTACAGATAACACAGTAATTTAGTTAATTATAGTGAACGTATTAAAATATTTTAACATCTAAGGCTTATTACAATATTGTTAAAACATTTCATTTTGTATTCATTAAGTACAATAAAAGACTATTCCAATTTAATTTAGACATTACACATTTCTCTTTTAATAAAATTGGTGAATTTCCACTAAAGAAATTTATTGCTGCTGTCACTGACAAGACTAAGATAATTCAAAGATATTTTCCTCTATAATTTCAAAGATGTCTTTACTGGAGCTCAATAGACACTGATCTAGTTTGATTTGAATTGAAATTATTGTTCAATAAAAGCTTTTACAAGGAATTTCTCTCAATGTATAGAAAAACATGTTGATCGATATCAATTTATATCGGACTGCCACAAAATGTTAATATACATATTTAGTAATTTCTATTTAAAGCCCATCAATCTATTTGATCTTGCTCTTTGATTTTCACTATTTAGTTATTAATTTTGAAGAAAATTAACAAGGATTTCGAAGCAAGAATAGATATAAGTAGAACAGATGTCACGTAAGAGAATTCACGGGTAACATCTATAATTTAAAGTAATATAATTCATACAATTAAAAATAAACAGAGACGAAAGTATTAATAAGAGAAAACAAGGTATCCGTTTTTCCAGTAATACCAAATATTTACAGAACCTTTAAAAAGGTGGAACACATGGGATTAAATATAAAAACTTCTCTATAAAAATGCCTACAATATCCATCAAATTTATGGTGATCAGTCAAACGGTTACTGAGACTTATAATCTTAACATACATACAAATTATATACTAATATCAAAATTCATTTTTATATAAGACTAGTTTTTATCCACGTTTCTGCCCACGTTACCGTGTACGTTTAGAAATATACGGTTACATAATATTTAGTAATCCGTGTCCTTTTCTATATCAAACACTATACATATATACGCCGAAATTCGTAATATTAGATTTTAGACTTTAACGTTGCTTTTTTTTAATAAACGATAATGGAATTGCAACCTCGTCCACGCTAATAGTACACACTGGCGGGCACCAGTGAAGGATGACAGGTGAGAATGAAAAGATGGGTCAGTTAGCTCATCGTGATGAATATACCTAGGATTCAGTGCGATGGTTTCCAGGAGGGACGATGTGGAGGTCGACCTGACAGGGCATATTGCTAGCGATGAGACTTGTAGTCTACATTACTAACAATCCCTTCAGCGTTGCATGGTTTATGGTTTATAAGAGATGGAAAATAAGGTTACCATTTAGGTAAACTAAAATAATTCATACGGGTTATTTCGTTTTGGCATAGAATAGGCCACCCATTCCTTTCCTAAGGGAGACTAAGGGAGACTAAGGGAGGATTAGCGATGGGCAGCAGCTCTTAAAAATCTCTAAAGCCTGATTGCGGTTGCCAATCCGCATACCGATCGTGGCAACTACTGGCAAAATCCCCCAAGGGGAGGCTTATGTTCAGCACTGGACAGTTAAAGGCTGATATGATGATGACGATGATTTCGTTTCGACTAGGTTAGGTTTAAATAGATACATAGATACTCTTTATTATTTTCTCTCTAAGATAGTAATAGTAAACTTATTATAAATACAAACAGTTTATTATTTACTCATGAGCATGGCCTGTATAACCTGATCGAAGCGTCGAGATAACCCAGGTAAATTATCATAGTTTACTTAAATGTTTGTGTTAATTATATTTATAACTTCATTTAAGAGTTTCCTCTTGTCGGTGCAACTAATTAATTCATGTTCCAGCCAGCTTTATCCCAGGCCATATCCTCGACGTCTCTATATCATGACATCATGAACATGACGTCGACATGACGCTTAGTATTTCTTTTATCTGTCCCATGTAGTTTATCCTCGGTCTTTCCCTTCCGCTTTTGCCCTGTACTTTTCCTTCTACTTTGCCCTTTAAAAAATTGTCATGTCGTATAAGGCAGCCCAGCATTTTGCCTCTTCTATTCTCTATTAATATTTATTACTACTAGAAGGAGACTTTGTACAAGTAGTTTGCTTGGGCACCTCTGTTCCATTCGTGTTTCTACCGTGAAGCAGTTGTGTTTCCATTGCTGTGTTTCGGTTTGAAGGGTGGACAGTGAATTTACAGGGTACAGAGGAATAACACCTTAGTCCTCAGGAATGGCAATGCATGGGGGGCATCATGGGCGAAACAGTATACTCCATGTGCTGCTCCATGTGTCCATGGTGCTGCTCATGTCTATAGGCGACTGTTACTATTTTCCATCATGTGGGCCATCAGCTTATTTGCCATTTTAAGTTGCATTAAAAAAATAACTATAAACAAATAATTTCATATAAATCAGCTAAGACGTAAAGACGCCAGGAAATAAGTATGAAATGAATTTACTTTCAAATTTAATATTAATAATATTAGTGAGGGTTCGGTCATTTTAATAAGAAACTACGTTAACATGATGTGAAATTATTACGCGGATTTCGCATTAAAACTTTTCAACCGTTTAACTTGTAATTCGAAAGTTATTCAAACTTTCAAAGTGCACAGCTTCCAGTTTTTAACTGGAATTGATTGCGAAGGAGTATGAGAGAGAGGTTGGAAATTAAAACGCGAAGCGATTTTTAAATTAGACAATCTTTTTGAAATATACTCTGTGCTTCCTGAACAGTGGTCGACAATAACTCACGTTTATTGGAAAGATAAGGCGGACAAAGAGCGTTCGGGTGTAAATCAAAATCGGCCATTTTAAAGTCACATTGTTGCAGAACCAATAATGAAAAATACCTTAGATATAGGTACATGGATGATTAATTGATTTGGGTCCATAGACAACTACCTATAATACAAAAAAAAAAGAATATTATATATTTTTTTATTATTTACTTTATTTTGTTATCGATTTACAGTTTCATGATTTATGCTATCACATAAGGCTACCAATAAGTAAAAAAAAAAAAAACTTTTAAACTAAGCGTTTTTAAACTGTTAGATACAAATTGAATCAAAATATATTTCGCGGTTTGTCCAATGGTTGACTGGTAGAGAACACCTGGTGAACGTCTGGTGTTAAGTCCGCCAAATGTACATAGAATTTTACTGTACATTAAAGCTTAAATAAATAAATAAATCGAAATATATAATAAAAATCAACAGCGGCTGTATTTAAAAAGAATACTTAATGTAAAATATTTTAAAACCAATATTTGTGAGAAACCTAAAATACTTGTAACTTACTATTAATTTTAATAAAGATGGACACAGAAACAAGAAGCGAGTTATAAAGTTTCGTTACATTCCGTTTTAGCCAATAATCCACGGAACCTAAACAACAATAAACTGATCTCTACAAAAGAAAATTCGAGCGTATGGTTGTTTAGAATAAAAAAGCTATAAATCCGCTAAATTGTCTCGTGTCCACTAATTCGAATGAATGGCCCAAACCTCCACGTAGCGAAATTAAACTCTCACAGTAATGAAGTGACCACATTTGTCTTAATTTGGTTGTTGGAAGCTTTATTAGATACGTATTAAGTTGTAGATACGAAGTTTGGGGTTGCCATACTTCTAAATGGGATTGTTTGACAGTTCTCTGTCGGGTTATTCTAGTCTAGAGTAATCTTCAAATTAAGAATAGTTTCATTTAACATTAAAATATTTGCTAAAGGAAAAATTATCTGCTTGTTTATTGTTTATATTTAAATGATTTTAAAAAAAGAACACGTTCTTAACTAGATGGTACTTTTAAAAATTCTGTGCCGAGTATGATAATTATTTTGGCAAAGTTTTACTTCAGTATTGATCCCATTTTAATTTTGTGTAGCTACATTTTGTCTTGTCAAAAAATTATATCTTCAGTGATGTAGATATTTCAAGTTAATTTATATTAATAGTTAAATTTAATATTTTGTGTAATATAAGCTCGCCACTGCCCTCAAACGCATTCTATTTTTACCTAATGGTTAGCTGGTAGAGAATGCTGTATGGCATTAGTTTCGACATTTGTACAAATTTTATTGTGCAATAAAGAATAAATAAATAAATATTTTTAACAGCACAAAATTTTAAATTATTATAGCAATAAAATTATAAACTTAAGTCACGTAATGCTTTGATTTAATTTCGTAATAAAATATTAATTTTCATAAAATAGTAATAGTACTAACAAAGGATTATTTAAAATAAAAAACTATCATCAAAATCGATTCAGATTTGTATACAAATATCTGATAGGAAAATACATACGAATAAATATCATTAAGGAATATTAATCCAAAAAAAGTACGCAAATATATCCTGTAACGTACATATAAAAAATACAGGTGAAGCAAAAAAAAAATTGTGAAGTTGCTTAAATGCAATCGAATAAAGAACCATCCCTGCTTTTGATTTTTTTTTGTATAACACAAGAGGTAAACGAGCCGCATGCTCACCTGATGGTTAGTGATTACCACTGCCTATGAGCACCCCAACAGCAGAGGCATCGCAGATGTGCCTGCATGGAAGATGCTATTTTCCTGAATGTTACGATGAGCTATCTAAATTAGTTGAAAACTTTATTTTCATTATTTTTATGAAACTTAGACATGATGAATACCATGGACATAACAGAGTATACTGTTTCGCCCCTCCCCCCAAGCGTTGCCATTCCTGAGGACTCAGGTGTTTTTCCTCTGTATCCTGTAAATTCACTGTCATATTCCGCCTTTCAAACTGAAACACAGCCATGCAAACACAATTACTTCACTACTTCACGGTAGAAACT